CAAATTGTAATTTAGCCTAAAATTTACCATCTCTATTATAAAAGAGGTTGGGATTCTTTACTGCAATGACTATTTTGAAAGCCATTATTATTTTTATAATAAAATATTATGTCCATAAAATAAGTAGCCAAACAAGGTGTAGTCACTTTCTTAAACGTCTGGAATATTGATGTTTCAAAGGCAAATGATTATATAATTGACCAAATTAGCCTTGACTTGTGGACCACCATTATCAGCTTTTTTGCAAAATCACCCACAATATCATGAGGTGTTGCAGGTAAGCATGGGCTGCACCACAAAATTCAAATTATTATTATTAACTCCTATTTTTCGCCTTTTAGTTTATTCAAATCCCTAAATTAAAGACAAATCATAGGGAGAAATTATATAATTTGCATTTTTTTTTATATCAATGCATATCTAAATCGGACCGAAAATTTAAAAAAAACATTCTTACGACAACGAATTGAACAAAACCACGTATGATTGTTCAAACTTGTTCGAACTTTTATCAAACTTCTAATATTATGTTTGAATTTGTGTCCTTGACCAACACTTTTGTTAGTAAATTAGTAGTGACTATGGATGTCTGTGATATGTTGGAGATATTAATATTAAATGATACACTTCACAAACAGCTTATAGTTTTGGTTGAGATGGTCATTCAACATGGTATCAGAGCCAGATCAAATGAAAAAGGTCATTGGTTCGAATCCCACCCAATTCAAATATTATTCACCTTCACTTGAGGAGTGGGTAACGAAATACAAATATGATATAACTAAGATCTGTATCATAATCTAATTTACAACACATTCCAAACGTCGGACCAAAATATCATATTACCCCTAAAAGAAACATTACAATAATTATCTTTGAAACATTCCACCAATCAAATGGCAATATCTAAATTAAAAATTTCTCCTACAACCATTTTGATTATGCGAAATCAATCTAGTACAAAATCAAATGATTGATGTTTTGGGAAGTGCAACTGCACAAATAAAATGTAGTAATGTGTTTGTGGAGATCTGTGTATGTATATATTTATTGTATAGAATAGAATCGATGTTTCATATGTTGGTGTAAATTCATGCATTTATGTCTATGCTATATGTTGCACTTGTGCCCACATGTTCCCCCTTTCGAACATTATATTACAAAGTTATAATAATTAAATTAAATATAGCAATAATTTTTTTTTATATTACATAGTAAAATAAAGATTTGGATCTATCGAGTTTTTTTATTATTTAGGTTTACTATATACTACACAATACAGCACACAATAATATTGAAACTGTAGCAGATAGATATATATATACACAAAAAATAAATTAAACTACATGCATATATTGTATATGTATATATAAATTTCCCTTCCCAATGCAGTATTCTTGTTATTACATAATACTATAAAACAAAGTAATGTAATGAGATGAAGACAATATTCATGTGTATACATGCATGTAGGGCTGGGCAAAAATTACCAAATACCGATTACCACGGTATACCTACCATAAATTACCGAATAAATACCGAACTATCGGTTACCACTACATTTGGTACGGTATCGGTACCGTACCATTGCCTTACGGTACGGTAGCGGTATTGTATCTTCAATACCATGGTAATACCGTACCGTACCGCAACTTTGTATTTTTAAAATATATTCAACAAATATTCAACTTTATACTTTATATTCAACTTTAGATAAAAAAAAATATAGTCAACAAATATTATAAAGAAAATAAAAAACAAGAATAACGATATGATACATCATATATATATTATATATACATAATTATAATTTTTTTATTATCTTCATATATTTATGCAAACTCAATATTAGCTCTCGTTAAAGTTGTTTATGTCACGTACTTCTTTAGTTTCAAAGTCCAATTAATCACTTATTGGTGGAATACTTTTTGCCATATTTTCTTCTCCCTTTCTTTCCCCCTGAGTTCTCAGTCTTCTGTTTCATTTGCATTATTGCAATTTTTTTTTTATTTCTCTTACTTAAACCATCAAACTTTTTTGCTCATTACAAGTTTCTACAATTTTTCTATAGATATCTTAGTAAGCATTAGTTAATTAAAGCAACATATGCTACTACGGTTGTATAATGTATATTCATGTAGATTGCTTGATCGATCACCATATTCATTTGCTTAATTTGTTGTATTTATGCATTTATTTAGTATTCATCTTAATTATGGTATCATCCGAGTTCATCAAAAAAATGATGTACGGTAGATTACCACGTACCGATCATACCGTACCGAAACTTACGGTATACCGAATAACGGTATACCGCAATTATTGGTACGGTAACGGTATAGAAATTTTCAATACCGAAAGATACGGTAGGTACACGGTATTGAACAAAATGTTCGGTAACCGTACCGAAACCACCCCTACATGCATGGAACTATTTGTTTCATCAGCTCTTTCATTCCCAATGTATAATATATATATATATATATATATATATACATTTTTTATTATGTTATTAGTAAATTATTTATGTTAAAAATCTGAAAAATATTCATAAATATTTGGTTATACTCTCTCTGTCCCATATTATTTTTTTCTTTGGAGAATTTTTTGTCCTAAATTATTTGTCACTTTAAAATTTCATAAATATATTAATTGCATTTTTTCAATTTTATCCAGTACCACTCTTAACTAGTTAGTTGAGAAACGATTAATGACAATGATATTTTAATATTTTTAATATTGTTCTGCTATAATCTATGCACATTTATTGAGTTTTTTAATACGTGCGTAACCATAAAAAGACGACATATGATATGGATCGTAGCGAGTTCTATCTGAAATGTCATCATTGTTTTGCTGATAAAAATATAAATATTATTTGATAAAATTAGTTAATTACTAATAATGAGATATACTTAGATAATATTTTAATAAATACACTATATATATATATATATATATATATATATATATATATATATATATATATATATATATATATATATATATATATATATATATATATATATATATACTATATATTGACTTACAATGCACAAACACAGTACAAAATGTACTCTTGTGCATATATATTTCTTTAATATTTAATATATATAGATCTAAAGTTTACTTTATTAGGAGTACTTGAAACAATATTTTATAAGTTAGGAGTACCAGTTAGAATGACATACATTTTGATTTATGCAAAATTGAACACAAAAGGCATATCACCCTTATAATCACTTGTGCAATCATGATTTTAACAGGTACAATTATCTGATTTTTTTTTTTTTTTTTAATTTATATCATACAACAAATAAAACAATTAAGGAATGTGCATAATTTATAGAGTTGAATGTGAAAAATCTAACGGTTATTTGACAATTCGTGATTATGCTTTCGAGTTACAATGACTTGAATAAAAGTTGCGAACGCATGTTTACAATTCACGCATATGACATACGAGCTAAACTCTTGAGTACTCAAAATGGTACTTCATTTTTATTTCGATTTCATTCATAAATATAATTTGAATTGATAAGCAATTAGCAAACGCTACAAATTATATAAAATACGCTTCTCGATTACAAGTAAATGCAAATACTCCTTTCATTTCTAATTAACTGTCGTTTTTAGCTTTGAACAACTATTAAGAGCATCTCCCACCCTTGACACCATTTTTTCACCAAATTCTACTTTTGGTGGTGAAAAATAGTGTTATCTCCCACATGTAGCACACCATTTTATAATTTCTTTATTTTTAGTGACAAAATAGTGTATTTGTTCTTCCAACAATTCCATCAAATTTTACACCAAATAATAAAATATTAATATTTCATCATTTTACCCTTTATAGAGAACAGGATTTGGTTTGGTCTCGCATGACATTTCACAAAATATATTACAAAATTATAAGTTTAATGTTAATTGTAAATTTAGTCTATTTTATTACTAAAATATTGATTATAAATTTGATGAATAGGATTTGGTTTGGTCTCCCATGGCATTTCACAAAATATATTACAAAATTATAAGTTTAATGTTAATTGTAAATTTAGTCAATTTTATTACCAAAATATTGATTATAAATTTGATCTTAAACAATAATTTTATTAAGTATATAATTTAAAATTTATGATAAATATAAAAAATTTATGGAAACATGAATGAAAACGGACTTTGATTATTTTACATAAAATAATAAAACCACACAAACAATAATTTCATAAATTATTGTTTAAAAATGTTACAACATAAATTAATCATAAAAACATTACAACATTTTTTTTTTGCCAAAAACATTATTTCATTGGTAATCACATGAAATTAGTTAATATAATAATTTTATATGTTAATTATAAAATGGTGTTAATTGTACCAAATCCTATTTTCACTTCTATATTTGATAGAAAAAATAGAATTTAGTGGAGAAAATGGTAAAATGTTAGAAATATGGTAGATGAAAATTTCTTCACCAAAAAATTTGGTGAAAATATCGGATTTAAGGATATAGTGATATAGAGTTTGACCAGGGTGTGAGACTAAACTAAATCACTATAATTTTAGGTGTAATGGTGATTTAGAAATTTAGGTTGGGAGACTAAAAATACCTAAATTAGGTGATAAATATGAGATCTGGTGATGGGTGAGAGATGCTCTAAGATTTAAGAATCTCAATAAATAATCATGATTTTAGGAAAAAAAAACACATCGGGATAGACTAGAATAACCTTGATCATTTAATGAAGTAATAATACAAAGTTAATACTGAGAGTTTAATTAATAATGTTGAAACATGAAAATGCATTTGATGCAGTATTAGAAATCTAAAGAGTCAGTAATTATATAATAAAAATAGTAATTCATTTGTGTGCACAGGACACGAAATACAAAAATCTATACACGTGTACGGTAGAATATAACCGAGAAAAAATGAATTGTGCTTTTTACCAAAATTCACATATAGTATAAGGGTAAATCTTGAAAATTGAAAATATGTCAAAAAGTCAATTCAATTCATTCATCAGAAAATTAAAAGCACAGACTTCCAAAATCTACCAACACCAATAAAAAACACATACAATACAGTTATGCTTTTCTGCAGAAATAAATGCTCTAACCACATTTTGGAGAAGATGAAGAACCTTTTCTTTTTTCAAGAAACCCTAATTTAACATAGATTATTAATCCGAACAAACTAAATTCTCAAATTTCAAATTCAAAACAATAATAATGCTCTAATCAATTAATTAATTCTTCTTCAATTCTGCATGTACTCTAATAACAAAAAAAACTTACTAAACAACAACAACATCAAAAGATTTAATTCCCCCAATAATTAATAATTAATAATTAATAATTTTCCGACCAAGATCCTAGGTTTTCTTACCAAGAGTGACTTTGTTGTTGTGCATCCACACTTTCAGCACGTGCCTTTTTATGCCCATCTCCCCGCACAACTGCTGCACCATTTCTTCATCCTGCTTCTGAATTCTCCACTCCAATCTCTCCGCCAAGTTCAGCATCTTCTCCTTTTGCTCCGCCGTGAATTTCGTCCTCGCCCTCTTCTTCGCGGCGGCGCCGCCGCCTCCGCCGCTGCTGCTCGGGTTCGAGTAGTACTCCTCCATCTCATCCCTCGACCCGCTCCCAGCTCCACCGCCGGAGCTGGAAGGTAGTGCCAGCGGCGGCGGCGCCGCCGCCCGCGGCGGCGCCACCTGGAGGTACCCGGTCGGGCCGCGGTAGCCGAAATGCCCATGTGGGTGGTGGGTCAAGAACATCTGCTGGTGGTGAGGGTATTGGTGGAGGGGGAACGCGCCGCCGCCGCCTACGGCGGCGGCGGCGGCGGCGCCCTCGTTCTCCTTGCGGTGGAAATTGCGGTGGCAATTGCAGGCGGCGCACCGGAGGGATTCGAGGGTGCCGTCCTCACCCGCCGGGAGGAACTCTCCGCAGCCGTCCACGGCGTGGCCGCCCATGCCGACGGCGTGGTTCTTCAAACACTCCTTGTAGCGATGCCTCCGGAGAGGCGGCGGCGTGCCCGCCGCCTCGCCGACAGGGCTGGGCAATTTGGTCGGCGGGTGAGTCGAGTTGGAGTTGCCGAGTGAGTCGTTGTAACCGGGTCCTGACCCGGACTCACCCGGGTCATCTTGATCCTCATACTCCATTTTTTTCTTAGCTTAAGTTATAATTAGTAATATAGATATATATATAGATACATAGGCTATATGTATACATATAGTAATAGCATTGTTGTTAGATTATACTAGGCAAAACCGGAGGTACAGGTTTTGTATATATGTATTTTGTTGATAAATATTTGGGTAATTAATATTTATTTATTTATTTAAGAGAAGTGAAGAGATAAGATAATGCAAAATCGGTATTTCACGAAAAATTGTCTTCTTTCATTTTTGGACATCGCCCAATAAAGCCAGTACAGAATGTAACGGTTCTATATTCACTGGGTTTTTTATTATTTTTTTTATTATTCACTTTTTTTTTTCTTTTTTTTTTTATTTCCCAATTAAAATAATTTTGTACTCAGATGGACATATGAAGAGAAAATCAAAGTAGAAATAAACTGAATGAAACATTTAAAATTATAAGACAAGTTGTAAAATAAAGAGGAAAAGAGGCGATTTTATAAGAAAACGATAATTATTGCCGATAGAATTATGTCTATGAGATGCTACATCTGGTGTAACAAATCGGATGGTTTTGAACGATTGATCTAGATAAATAACTATTTATTAAGAACACGTACACATGAATGTGTGTTATTATGTGTAAGTCAATGGTTCAAGATCGTCCGATGTACTTCACCGGTTGTAACATCTAAAAAACCATAAACTTGCGTAGAATTCTTGGGTACGTTCAATATATTTCAGGCGCATTCATTATTGTGATACATGTAATTCAGGTTTTGTAGATATTATACTCGGTGAAAAATACTAGGTGATTTTAAACTATAGACCTACATATATATAATAACGCACATACACTCGTGTGTAAGTGTGCCTAGTGAGTGATTATATTTGTATCGATCGATATGTGGTTTAAAATCACCGGTGTATTACACCACATGTAACATCTCATAGACCTGTAATTCATTTTAATAGTTTCTACTTTGCAATTTTATTTTGGAAAAATAAATCTTTCCTCACTAGGTGAGTTAATATAATCAATAAAATACGAACTCTTATGCCTTAAATAGAAGATTTTGAGCATTTAAAAAAACATTTACAATCTTGAATTGCTTTAAGGAAACAATACTAATTTTTTTGACATAATTAGTAATCCAACATAAATTAATAATCGCTAGTATCATATAATACTTCTAAAATGCAATTAATACTTTATGGAAATTATATTCTAAAATATAATGGCAAATAATTTGGAGAAAAAACCCTCAAAAGACATATAATATGTTACAAAGAGAGTAAAAGGTACAATATTAATATTAAATAATATATATTTCACTAAAAAATTGAGTTTTTGATTTTCAGTGGAGGTGGTCATTCAACAGCTCAAATAAAAAGGTCACGAGTTTCATTTTAAATATTTCGATTGCAAGACTTCAAACATAAGCATACAATTTTGATTGAGGTGGTGATTCAACAAAACTCGATTAGAAAAAAAGAAAAAAAAAAAGAAAAATTGAACATTAGGGTAAATCACAACCACCCCTGAGGTATGGTCAAATTACGAAAAACCCCCTTTTGTTTGGGTAATTACAACCACCCGCCACTATAAATCTTCTTACACGTCCACGCTTGCGGTTTCAAATTTAGTGGAATCTTCGAGAGTATATGGAATATTATTATTTTTGTACCCGTTTTATCCCATTCGAACTCCACATTTTGAAGCAAGATGATCAAAATGTGTTTTTTGGCTTGTATATATCAGATTGTGGTGCATCAAAACCTGCTTTTTTGCATAAAACAAGTACAAACTAGAGCACATTCCACGAAATCTAAATGATTATGTTGAATTTAACACCATAAGGGTGGAGTTATGAGAAAAAATCATAATTGAAGGGGTGAATATAATTATTCAAACAAGATTGGATTTTTTCGTAAGTTGATACATAGCAACGGTTTTAATTTACCTTTGAACAATATAATCTTAACTACAATATAAGTAGTACTCAGCATTCAAGACAGCTGTTATTCAATGTTATGGGGAGGTGGCGTTACTGAGTTGGATGACGCCATCCAGACGTCAGGGTTAATTAATGATGCTGTATCGGCAGTATAACTATAAATAATGTGGGATAAGAATGGTTTAGTTATTATCTTTATTTCATCAAATTCAAATTAAATAGGGGCTCTTTGAGAAAACCCCCTCATTATTTTTTTTAATTGAGGGAGGTCCAAAATATTTTAGTCCATTTGAGAAAAGTCCACACCCATTTTCAGCCATTATGCTTTCCAGCTTTGTCCCCACCCGCCACATCATCACTGGGTCACGCTCAGCAATTTTTTTTTTTTTTTTTTTTTTTTCCGTTTTTTTTCTTAATCGACTATGAAGCATAGTCGATTAAGCCTTAATCGACTATGCTTCATAGTCGATTAAGGAAATTATTTAATTATTTAATTTTTTTTTTGTTTTTTTAATTTTTTTTTTCTATATCAGGTGTATTAATCGACTATGATGAAGCATAGTCGATTAAGAATCTGCTACTAAACATAACAAATTACAACTGCGAAAAAATGCAAAATCAACTATATTTTAGAAAGAAAAAAAAATATACAAACGTTATAAATGATTTATACAATTGAAACAATAAACAAGAAATCCAAAAAAAATAAAAAAAACTGGAGTCGATCAACCTTAATCGAATACCAGAACATAGTCGATTAGCTTAATCGACTATGAACATGTACATAGTCGATTAAGGTTTCAGCCACAAATAAACCCAAAATCGGCCTCCACATCGTCCCCACACCACCCAGAGCTTCTGCCATGGCCGAACCCGTCATATTTTGAGCATGTTCAGCTCCACCAATTAAGAAAACTAATTTAATTTAATTTAATCCCAATCCTAAATTAACTTAATCCCAAAAGCAACACCAGAATAGAGAATATAACTGATTATATTCATTCTTTATTACTACTTTAATTTTCTGTGTTCGTTTTCATTTCTATTTGCTAGAGAGAGAAAGTTAGAGAGAGAGAGAGAGAGAGATTGATGTATAGAAATGGCGGGTTACGAACATCAGCAAGGCTCCGGCGGCGGTGGTAATTCTTCTCGCTACGTTCATCAGCTTCTCACACCACCGACGGACCTCCACTTGCAGCAGAGGCCGCCGCCGTTGCCTTCTTCTCGTCTTGAAATTCATCACGAGCCGTCTGCTAATTCCAAGGACGACGACGCCGCCGCTACCACCAGCTCCGGGGGTACTCCCTCCGCCAACCGCCGCCCGCGCGGTCGTCCTCCGGGATCCAAGAACAAGCCCAAGCCCCCAATTATCGTCACGCGCGACAGCCCCAACGCGCTCCGATCCCACGTCCTCGAAATCTCACTCCAGCTGACGCGTGCGCGGAGACGACGGCGGCGGCGGCGGCGGCGGCAGAATCCTCCTTACTCTCCTGTTGAGCTTTCTCCTGTTGAGATTTCTCACTAATTTGTGTGTGTGTGTGTGTGTGTGTTTTTATGTGTGCGAGAGAAAGAGGGGAGAGAGAGAGAGAGAGAAAGAGAGAGAAGAGATAAGAGTGAGAAAGGGTGGTTTGGGAATTATTAAATAATATTTGGGTAGAATATTAGGTAAGGGGGTTTTCTCTAATTATTTTTGGGATGGGGGTTTTTCTTAACTCATTTACCTAGATGAGGGGGGTATTGCTAATTATCCCAATTAAATATTGTACTTATCCTCTTTTAATAGGCTTCTATTATTTCTTATCAAAAAAAAAAAAAAAAAAAAAATAGGCTTCCATTATTTAAAACTTCAAATATGTTAGCCTAGGTATAAGGTATCAACTGCAATTGTTCCATAATAGAGGTCCAATTTGGAATAAGTCACCAATTGCGCTGTACTGGAATTTCAGAGTAGGTCAAATTAGGGGTGAGCAACTCGGACCCATCAACCGTTTGAACCAGTCAAACCAGTAAAAAATGTCCCATTAAAATCAGACGAATGGATCTATCAATAGGATTGTATACTTAAATAGAGAAGATCCGCGAGATTGGGTCTAAGACGGGTTTAAATCTTTTTAATACCCGTGAAACCCGTCCCGTCTCGCCATACAAAACAACGTCGTTTTCTTTATATTATGTAGGATAATAAATTAATAATATATAATATATGAATAAAAAATATCTTACATATTAAAACTTATATCTATAACGATGACATCGTTATTTATTTTAAATTTTGTCTTACAAAGCTTTGGATTTGGTTACATTTTTTTAATGGATTTATGATTAGAACGTATTATTTTGATTTACTCTTGATATTTAACATTGATGTTATTCATGTTGGTTTAAATTTAAGATTTTACGCGTAGTCATTCATTTCAATTTCTAAATAATTTTGCGTAAAACTTATAAATTATTAAAAGAATAACATGTTTAAATTATGACGGGTTTCGGCCCATGAAGGTTGGGTCCTACTATTTAAAGAACTATTGATTGACAGGACGAGGGCAGTTTTGCTAGAACTCGCTGGTTTATGACCCACGCATACCCCTAGATCAAATTATAATTGGACGATGTTGAACATTTATGTGCGATGAGTGTATTAAAAATAAATATTGCTCACTTTCTATTACTAACTGATTTTAGGATAACTGATAGCACATGAAATCATACAAAATAATTTAGAAACTAACATCGAAAAATGACAAGTAATTGTAAACAATTAAATTTTGGTTTTACAAATTTGAGAAGTCAAAAATACAATTTAACTATTTAATTTAAAATTGTACTTTGTGAGTATTTATTAATAAAATTTCCCTTTATTATATTAATTATGTTTAGAAAATATTTGACTTCGGAATTAGTGATGTTATGATAATATTATGTAAACATATAAAAAAATGAGCCCTATCTGAAAATAAAGATGAAAAGCAGATGGATGAATCAGACTTAGCACTTTAAAGGAACTTCATTTTTTCTGAAGTGAAAAACTATTTATAATTCCATTAAAAAAAAAATCAAACAATTAGAAATTGAAGTTTTGAAAATTGGAATGAAACAAATTGTTCCAAAATTGGAATTGTTTGGATAGTAACGATGAAAATAAAAAAAAAAATCTAAAAAGTATCAATATTGTAAGTGTCGTTAATGAATATTAATTTGAGCATTATTTTTAGAAATTGAAAACGGATTGAAAATCAAAATAATACTTTCGAACTTTTATCCAAAAAAAATCAGAAATTGAAATTCCTAGCTTTCATAAAACAAAAAACGTCACATCCCCTGCCCTGTTTTCTAAACCTTAATGATTATACAGGATATTACAAAATCTAACG